ATCCAAGCAATACGTTAAAAAAATCATACACCATGATCAAGTGGGATTCATCCCAAGGATGCAAGGATAGTACAATATTTGGAAATCAATAAATGTAATGCATCATGTAAACAAAAGCAAAGACAAAAATCACATGATCATGTGAATAGATGTGGAAAAATCATTTGATAAGGTACAGCACCCATTTATGATAAAAACACTTAGCAAAGTGGGAACAGAGGGAGCATTCCTCAACATAATAGAGGCCATATATGACAGACCTACAGCCAACATCATCCTCAATGTGCAAAAACTTGCAGTTTTCCCATTAAGATCAGGAACAACATAAAGGTGGCTATTTCCACCACTCCTATTCAACATAGTATTGGAAGTCCTAGCCACACAATCAGAAAGGAAAAAGAAATAAAAGGCATCCAAATTGCAAAGGAGAAAGTAAAACTGTAGCTGTTTGCAGATGATATAGTGTACATAGAAAACCCTATAGACTCTACCAAAACTACTCAACCTAATAAGCGAATTTGGCAAAACAGTGGATGCAAAGTCAATATTCAGAAATCAAAGGCATTTTAGGACTTCTGCCAAGATGGAGGCATAGGTGGAAACACTTTGCCTCCTCGCACAACCAAATCTAAAAACAACAAAGTTTTAACAACAATAAACGCAACCAAGCCACAGAAAATCGAACAACAGGAAGTCCGAAAACAACGACTGCTCAGTTAAACCTGTGAGAGGGGTGAAGCCAGCAGCGGATCAGGTCAGGCAAAAAAGATCCCCCGACCCGGGCAGTGCGCAGGCAGCCAAGGGTGCAGATCCCAGGTGCGGGGTAGCTATGGGCGGACCCAGGAAAGGCACGGGGTGGCAAGCTGACCGTGGTCTTGCATTCACCCGCAGACAAACTAGCAAAGAGACGAGCCTTGAGACAGACCAGACCGAGCAGGCCCCGGTGCAGGGTGGCGGGTTCACACATTTGCATGCAGATAAACAGGTGGGGGGGAGGGGCAAGTGGTGAGGCAGACAGGCAGGAGAGAGCAGAGAGGACAGCCATTGCTCCCTCTCTGACTCCGCCCCCCAGCCCCCACATACAGTGTCACGAACCAATGACCTGGGTGACCCCACCCTGGTGAACACCTAAGGCGCCTCTCCTCAAACGTAGCAGGCGCCAACAGATCAAAACATGGCTCAAGAAGAACTGAGCCCCAGAGCCCATAAATCTAAGCGAACAAGAAATTGCCAACCTATCAGAGGCACAATTCAAAACACTAGTGATCAGGATGCTCAGAACTGGTTGATTTTAGCCACAAATTAGAGGAACATATGAAGGCTAAACTAAGTGAAATGAAGGGAAACACACAGGAAACCAATAGTGATGAAAAGGAAACTGGGAATCAAATCAAGGGAGTGAACCAGAAGGAAGGAAAAAATGATGAAACAGAAAAATATGAAGAAACAAGAATTCAAAAAAATGAGGAGAGGCTTAGGAACCTCCAGGACATCTTTAAACGCTCCAACATCCGAATTATAGGGGTACCAGAGAGGAAGAGGAACAGCCACCAGTGGAAAACTTATTTGAACAAATAATAAAGGAGAATTTCCCCAATCTGGCAAAGGAAATAGACTTCTAGGAAATCCAGGGAGCTCAGAGAGTCCCAAAGAAGTTGGACCCAAGAAGGAACACACCAAGGCACATCACCATTATATTAGCCAAGACTAAAATGAAGGAGAGAATCCTAGAAGCAGCAAGAGATAAGGGGAATAGTCACCTACAAAGGAGTTCCCATCAGACTGTCAGCAGATTTCTCAAAAGAGATCTTACAGGCAAGAAGGGGCTGGAAAGAAGTATTCCAAGTCATGAAAACCAAAGACTTACAACCAAGATTGTTCTATCCAGCAAAACTTTCATTTAGAATGGAAGGACAGATAAAGTGCTTCTCAGATAAGATCAAATTCAAGGAGTTCATCATCACCAAGCCCTTATTATATGAAATGTTAAAGGGACTTATCTAAGAAAAAGAAGATAAAAAAGATGAACAGTGAAAGGACAGCAAACTCACAGTTATTAACAACCACACCTAAAACAAAAGCAAACTAAGAGAACAGCTAGATCAGCAGTGAACCATAGAAATGAAGATCACAGATCACATGGAGGGTTAGCAACAGGGGAGTGATAGAAGGAGAAGGGGGGAGAAGGTACAGAAAATAAGTAGTATAGACTGTAGATAGAAAATAGATGGGGGGGCAAGAATAGTAGGAGAAATATAGAATCTAAAGAACTTGAGACACGTGGTCATGAACTAAAGGGGGGGAATAGTGGGGGAGGGTTGTGCAGGGTTGAGGGGAATGAAGGGAAGAATTAGAACAAATGTAATGGCATAATCAATAAAAAAAGAAAGAAATTAAAGGCATTTTATATACCAACAATGAAATATCAGAAACATAAATCAGGAAAAAAATCCCATTGCATATAGCAACAAAAAAAATGAAGTACCTAGAAATAAACCTAACCAAGGAGGTAAAGATCTTTACTCAGAAAACTATACAACACTGAAGAAAGAATTTAAGGAAGACACAAACAAATGGAAGCATGTACCATGTTCATGGATTGGAAGAAATGACATCATCAAAATGTCCACACTACCCAAAGCAATATACAGATTCAATGCAATACCTATTAAAGTACCAATGGCATATTTCACAGCTACTGAAAAACATTTAAGAAATTTATATGGAACCATAAATGACCCTGAATAGCTGTAGCAATTTTGAGAAAGAAGAACAAAGTAGGGATCACAATACCTGATGTCAAATTTTATTATAAGGCCACTATAATCAAAACAGTCTGGTACTGGCATAAGAACAGGCACATACACCAATGGAACAGAACAGAAATCCCAGAAATGAACCTAGTCTCTGTGGTCAATTAATATTTGACAAAGGGGGCAGCAGCAAAAAATGGAGTAAAAATAACCTCTTCAATAAATAGTGCTGGGAGAGCTAGACAGCAACATGCAAAAAAAAGGAAACTTGACCACCAACTTACACAATACACAAAAATAAATTCAAGGTGGATGTAAGTCATGACACCATAAAAGTCCTAGAGGAAAACATTTGCGGGAAAATCTCAGATATTCCATGTAGCAACCTCTTCACTGACATGTCTTCTGAAGCAAGGGACATAAAAAAAAGAATAAACAAATGGGACCTTATCAAATTAAAAAGCTTTTGAATGGCTAAAGAAAACAGCATTAAAATGAAAAGAGAACCAACTATATGGGAAAACATATTTGCCAATGATACCTCAGACAAGGGTTTGATCTCCAAAATATATAAAGAATTCACACAACTCCATTCTAGTAAGACAAAAAATCTATTTAAAAAATATACAAAACTCTTGAACAGACAATTTTCCAAGGAGGACATACAGAGGGCCCAGAGACATATGAAAAGATGCTCAGCGTCACTAGCCATAAGAGAGATGCAAATTAAAACCACAATGAGATACCACTTCACACTGGTCAGAATGGCCATCATAAGCAAATCAACAAACAAGTGTTGGAGAGGATGTGGAGAAAAGGGAACCATAGTGTACTGTTGGTGGGAATGCAGATTGGTACAGCCACTGTGGAAAACAGTATGGAGTTTCCTCAGAAAATTAAAAATGCAACTGCCTTTTGACCCAGCAGTTTCACAGCTGGGATTATATCCTAAGAACCCTGGAACACCAATCCAGAAGAACTTATGCACCCCAATGTTCATAGCAGCACAATTTACAATAGCCAAGTGCTGGAAGCAACCTAAGTGCCCATCAGTAAATGAGTATATAAAAAAACTATGGTACATTTACACAATGGAATACTACACAGCAGAGAGAAAGAAGGAGCTCCTACCCTTTGCAACAGCATGGATGGAACTGGAGAGCATTATGCTAAAGTGAAATACGCCAGGCATTGAGGGACAAATACCATATGATCTCACTTTTCACTGGACCATAATCAACAACAACAAAAAAAGTAAACAAAATATAACCAGAGACACTGAAATTAAAAACAATCTAACAATAACCAGGAGACGGGAGGGGACAATTGGGAGAAAGGTTTTCAGGAACTACTGTAAAGGACACATGGACAAAACCAAAGGGGAGGGTGGAAGCAAGGGGAGTTGGGTTTGGCTGGGGTTGGAGGGGAGTGGTAGGGGAAAACTCATACAACTGTAATTGAACAACAATAAAATAATTTTGAAAACAGCATATGCACATATATGTATATATAAGGTACAGAGAGAATGTTTCAACTGCTACATATAAAACTCTTGACCGTAATCTCTATGTAGGGAAATAAAATTGAGATGAAGGTGCTGGGAACTTTTGTGTTTTGCTCCTTCTATCTGTGTAATTTCATCTTTATAATGAATATGAAGTTTTATTTTAGTTGTAGTCAAATAAAACATATTAGATTTACATGTAATATATTTTGATATTTAAATATATTTAATAGACTTAAATATATTTTTTGGCTAATTTTTTGTACACTTGTCTTTAGAAAACATCGAAATCCTTTCTTTTAAAGTCCTAGATAATATTTTATGGCTTATAAAAGATATCTAAGAGGAATTAAATACTACATGTCCTTGATTCTAAGACATTGATTTTAAGACTCATCATTAATTCAATAACAGTTTATGAGGAAACAAAAACAAGCATACAATCACATTGAATGTACAAAATTAGTATAAGATGCATTTCAACTTCACGAATGTTTTAAGATAAAATGACAGTATAATACGCATCACATTTTGCGTTAAATATGGAAGGTAGGTAAGTAAAATTGCAATCTTGATTTTCTCCTTTGATGAATAAATCTATGTTTGCAAAATGTTGACAATGAGATCCACATGCCTCTGGCAAGAATATTTAGAAAGGAAAGGACAATCAAAGGCGAACCCACTGTCCATGAAAAATCTCTGCGTGAATAGAGCATATTGCTCCTGAGTGACACAGATCTTACCTTATTTGGAAATGAAAATTTGCTTGCTTCTACTTTGCCAGGTGCCTGAATAGCAGAAAGTGGTGGAAGCCAGGTCATCTCCTAAAGGGAAGAAAATCAAACAGCACTGATATATAGAGAGTATTTAAAGTTGGCAGCATGTAAATCAGCTATAAAGCCTGCCTTGGTAAGGCAGAGAAGGGGTAAAAAAAATGAAAAAGAGACGAATAAGGAATAAAAGGGAATTTTAAAAAAAGAATGTGAAACTCACTTTCATATTTTCCCCCCTAATTTTACCAATCTTTGGTTCTGCAGCTATCCCTATGCCCCCTTTATACCTTAAAAAGGTCTACAAGGTTGTCCTATTTTCATTTTAAATAAACACCAGAGTAAAGGGACAACCTGTTCATATAAGTCCTATGGAAACAGCCATACAAATGGGGCTGCTTCTCTGGGACTTGATCCCACAAGATGCACAGGGTGTTTCTGAAGGAATGTATAAAGCACTTTCAATGTCAGGAATCTTTATCACAGGACTTGTTTATTTTATTAGAAACTCATATTAGTCTGAGTGTCCAACAAGCCCCAACACATTACTTTGGTCTTTATAAAAATGTCCTTCATGGAGAAGTGAAAACACAAATCACACATAAGAAACAAAGAGAGGCTCAGTGGATTGAGCACCGACCTGTGAAACAAACAAACAAACAAACAAACAAAATGTTGTGATGTTTACAACAGTATAAAAAGACAACTTTAGCTCAACATGTGATATTCTGTCATATGCTTTCTGACATACACTTTCACTAAGCTGTGAGAGAGACGAGGGGTCCTTTTAGTCACTTCCAGTATTCTCCATCAGTTCCATCTCCTGGAAGATATCTGCATTCACTAAATGACTTTGGAATTAAATTGAATCAATTTCTGATTGCCAGGAAACTGACTTAGAGTTTACAAATAGGTTCTGAACCCTATTTCTTGATTTTTACACTTCCCAACATAAGCAAGCATATAAGCAGTTGGTCCATTTTGAGAGAAGTGAGAAATTTGCTCCTTAGGCGAAGACATATCCTCGCCTCCCTTGGTTGGTGTTGGGAGATGTTGAAAGGGATTCTGTTGGGTTTTTGGAGTGAAAGTTTCTTGAAATGGTCTTGGGTCTCCTTTCTTTGGGTAACTCTCCTCCCCCAGCACCTCAGATGCACACCCACACAGGGAATGAGTGTATTCAAGCCCTTCTTGGAAGGGTTTACTGATCCTACATCATCTCCCACCCACTGTGACTCCTGAGCCAGAGGTGGGTTAAGTGCATATGCACCTGAGGGGTCCCTTCTCCATGCTGCTGGTACCAAAGTTTCTCCAATAGAAAGCAAAGGAAGACCCAGTGACCCTTTACCTCAGTCCCCAAGTGTCTGCACATTGTATTCTGTGTCTTTACCCCCCTGTTGTCTCTTTTGTGAGGATTATGTCAAGGAACAGAGTGGGTACTCAACCTATTTTTGAATGAATGGAAAATTAAACAGTATCTCTGAAATGGGTTCACCTTTTGTGCCAGCCAGTTACATGAACTATCACCCTAATCACACCTTCAGTTATTTGTAACCTGAATTCCTTTAGGAGCTTCCTGATTGGTTCTCTTTCTTCTGTTATTATTAAGCCATCCTTCAGACATATGACATTTTTCCTAGAGTGCAGACTGAAATGAAAGTGCCACTTCTTCAGTATCTATATAGACCATCACATATGTAACAACAATGATGACGATGGCAATGATGCCTCCTGTTATGCTCGACAGCTTTGGAATACTTCCACGCAAGTTTTCTCATTTAAACCCTACCTTTAAAGTAATTATTATTATATCCATATTGGAGATGAGGAAGTTAAAGCTCAAAAAGAGTACGTGATTTGCTCACGTTCATGCAGTTCACAAATGCCACCACTGAAGTGTTCACACACATCTTCCTCCCCACCCAGTGTTTGCTTTTCACTCTACTGCATTTCCCCAATACAAACAGATTCAAGACATTCTACAACAAGGTCCCTGTTGTCAGCCTGGTGTTTTTTTTTTTAATCTACACATGCACTACGGATAAGAAAAACTATAGTCTCTGATTTTACTTACACTCCTCCTTTGTGTGTGAATGCCCTACCCCCATATGCCTTTTGGAGTTCTGTTCACCCATTAGGGCTCATCTCAAACGTCATTTACATCACGGGGCCTTAGTTGGTTCCCCCTCTATTCCAATACAGCATGACAGTTCCTTTCTCATGCTCTTCTGAAGCACTTTGTCTCACTGTAGCTCAGATTCTTTTTCTTTGTTTATTTTTACAAGTATACACCTCTATCTGCACTTAACTATTTTGCTTTCATCTGATACCCTTTTCCCAATGCAGAATAAAAATCATACTAAGGAATCCCAATAATCTCTTTCAAGGGTATTCAGTTTTACTAAACATAATCTCCAAATAGGACCCCTAGTAATTTCTTTCAAAAATATTCAGATTTATTAAACATATCCTTTAAAGACGAACTGCAAATTTCTTCAGAGAGATACTGCCTACTCATCTATGTCAATAAAGCCTCTTATAGACTAAGTGCTCAAAATTAACTTGTTGAATTGAACAAAACACCTATATTTCAATGCAAAATTGCTCACTGACATTACTTTCATTACTTTAATCCTATCAAAGTATTTTGATGTAATTTTCTACATAATTAGTGCTGTTTTATATATGAAAAAATAATACAGACAGTAAGGTATCTTGAAACATTTCAATGTTAGAATTTTCAAAAACCCAGAATTGGTTACATGAACTAATTCAATACTTGTTTTTAATGAATGTACAATGACTTTTTAAGACTTATTGATTGTTCAGTACATTAAAATTCTCCATTAGGGTTGCATGGAAAAATTAAGGGCAAAGAGACTATTTCTATTTCCTCTTCTGTCACTTACTAGCTCAGTGAGCTTAGGTTAAGTCACATCTTCAGTAACTTGCAGTGATTTCAAAGAATAGGCTTTGGAATCCATCAGATCTCAATTTGTGCTATTTTAGAACCAAATAAATAAAGGTGCTAACTAGTTCACGGTTTAATCATAAGCATTAAATGAGACAATATATAGAAAATAGCATGGTCTTCTTATGGTTAATCATTCAATAAAACATTGATTAATATCAAGTTGAATTTCAGAATTCTTATCTCTAAAATGAGAAATAGAATTTCTCTCTGGGCTTTAGATGGGAAAGTGTTTTTTATGGAAGAATGAATTATTATGCCAATGTAATCTGTAATTAAGCTAGCAATTACTAATACAAACTACATTTCTAAAACACAAAGTTATTTAAAGAGATTATTATGATTCTTAAGTGTGATATGTATTTTACATTGGACAAAATGTCCCTAAGTTCTCATGGGAATGAATCTCTGACATAATAATAGTAGTCAGTGAGATAAAATTTGATTAAAAGGTCTTTAATTAGCACTTTAATGTAAGCAAAGAGGAACATTTCATAACTGCTAAAATTTCCCTTGGTGTGCCTCCCTTCACAAGGAAAGAGTGCTATTTTTCTGAAAGATTAGTGTACGCACCATCCCCACCACTGCCCATGCTCCGGACTTCCCTGCCTCAACCACTCCTTCACTGCTGTCTTACACCTCTGTCCTCCACCTGGGCGTCCTTTGATCACATCCTGGACCACAGGTAAGACAGGAAGAGAATCAAAATGCTTAAAGCCAAGTATTCCGAAGTCTAGGTGGCTACCTCCTGACCTTATAAACCCTTCTAACACTTCTTTGATCTGTCTGCCTTCCTTCCTTTTTGATTTTCTTGTCACTTAGGAATGGGGTCATACACTATACCCACCAGTGAAAGGTCCTCAGTTTTGAGCCTAGCTTCCTTAGCCAACTGACAAGATTAAGAATCAACATATCTGTTAACACAGCCTCACCAGTCCCAGCTCTAAGCAGATGTCTTGTTACCCAAGGGACACATTTCAGGGTGTCTTCTTATTTCATAGGCGTAAAATGCCAACTCCCTTTATAGCAAATACACTCAGTTTTCTCCTAAATGTTAAGAACAGATGGTTAAATGATAAAAGTATACAACCCTGCATTTCATTAACTGTCCAGTTTTTTCTCCATTCCCCCAATTTTCAGAAGGCCAGGACACATGTATACAGTTTCCATTTTCACATCTATTGTGTAGCTGGCCTGACCATGAGTCCCCAAATCCACAATTTCAAGATGAGTAGACTGCTCATTCTGCACAAGCCTCCTCTCCCTCCATGTAGCTACTCATGTACAGTGATGTCACCTGCATCAGCCTGTCTTAGGACAAAAGGCTGATGCTTAGAACATCCATTCACTAAGCAGTGTAGGTCTCTGTAATTTAAAGAGAGGAAAAAAATAGAATTTTAGCCTGATAGCTAATCGTAGGGTTCAAAATGTATAGTTATGAAGATCTGCAAAGTACATTTAGTTTGCAGATAGATTAAATCACAAAAAAGTTAAACAATATCTTAATTTCTCTACTTTTCAGTGAATAGGAAAACACTTTCCCTGGCCTCTTTTCCTGTCTACTGTTTCCCCACCACAACTTGTCTCAGTCACAGCCACGGGAGTGTTTGCTCTGACATCGTTAACTACGTCTACTTGCCCAAAAGCTTCCAGTGACCCTGCTCCAAACATTTCAGATACTCTGTCCCACGGTGCCATCAAGGAAAAATGCTGCAGTGTTACTGCCTGTTCCTTTTCTACATAGTCCTCCCCCAAGCCAGATGGTTTAACATCCCATTTCCTCTTGTCCTGCTCTAGGTTTTCCTGTGCCAACATTTTTTTGTTTTCCTTTCATGTTATTCCAACTTCAGTCACCTCTCTTTACTCTCTGGTCCCTGCCTCTCTAGGAAGCTCACTGACCAGCGCTACCCTCGGCCAGGGCTACACGCTTTACCCTCCTTTACAACAATTTGTGCCATGAATTTAATATTTACATGCTGCCTGGGGCTGTGAGGTTTCGTTCTGTGTGTCACCACTATCGGATTATACACTTTGTAACCCCTACTAGCTTATGACCTCTTTGAGGGAAAGGATCATGTGTAATAAC